AAATGCAATGCAGGTGAAAAGCAGTGATCTTTGAGCTCCACCAGTGAACCAGAACATCCATACAGGAAAACTACGCAGCCTGTGTGAGAGGGAAAGTACTTATTGCAAGATGTGCTGTTTTTATTATGTGCCGTTTTTGTCCATCTCAGTGGTTTACTTCTTTATAAATATTTTCTCTGTACTTTTGGAGGGTTTTTCCTCCTTTTTTTGATAAATCGGGCTTTCATCGAGATGATTTTATGTTGAAATTTGGGGATTGGTAGCTTCTGTGTTTTGTTACTTCCATGTCCTAATGTGTATCAGTCCCTTTTTGCATTAATTGAAAAAAGATTTTTAAATTATGAAATGATAGAGATTGCAACCTACTATCCCCATTCAGACTATCTGTGGCATTAATCTCAGTGTTAAGGAAGGTCTTTAGGAACGTTCATTTAAATTGCACTGATGGGAGAATTGGACAAAATGATTTTAACTTTTGTATGTAACAGGACTAAGTGCTGTAGCCCAATTCCTCTGACAGCTTCTGTCAAGGCATCAGAGCCCAGAAGATATGCACCTCAACCTCTGTGTGGAGATGACACTGCAGCTGAATAATCCTCAGTTGAAGAATCACCCTTTCTTCTTAAGTCTGTTTCTTCCCTAGTTGTGCAGAGTCATTCACTTTGCATTTGACCCAAACCACAAGAAGCTTTATTTTCACTTGACAGCTGTTGAGTGAGAGTGAAGGAGACAGTTTTTGCCTTGTTCGTGCTTTCCAGAGCAGACAGTCACTACTCTAGTGCCTCTGGTGGTGCCCTGAAGAGCCCAGTTTCACGGGAAACAGCAGAACAGGTACTGAGTGCAGTCCTGCCTGCCACTGTGCTCTTTGATCCCTTCAAAGCTAGTACTTTTTGTGTGAGGAACAATGGAGTGTTTACTGGAATCAAAGTCACTGCTACACTTCATTTGAGCTGGATCTGAATACGGAGAAGGGTTTATTTGGAGGTCTTCTCCTACCCTCCTACCATGCACCCTCACCTCCCTATCACAGAATCATAGAATGGCCAGGGTTGGAAGGGACCTCAAAGATCATGAATCTCCAATCCCCCTGCCACATGCAGGGCCACCAACCTCCACGTTTAATGCTAAACCAGGCTGCCCAGGGCCCCATCCAACCTGGCCTTGAACACCTCCGGGGATGGGGCATCCAAACCTCTCTGGACAGCCTGTTCCAGTACCTCACCACTCTCTGGGTAAAGAATTTTCCCCTGATGTCCAACCTAAATCTCCCCTCCCTCAACTTAAAACCATTTCCCCTCGTCCTACACATATCAACCCTTTCAAAGAGTTGATTCCCTTCCCCTCTGTAGACTCCCTTTAGGTACTGAAAGGCTGTAATGAGGTCACCCTGCAGCCTTCTTTTCTCCAGGCTGAACAAGCCCAGCTTCCTCAGCCTGTCCTCATAGGGGAGGTACTCCAGTCCCCTGGTCATCCTAGGATCTCATCTTTGTGCTTCTGCACACCCATTCCCTTTTCACATTTACTGTCTTCCTTTTGTCCAGCTGTGAACTGAGATTTGCCATCTCTCTCTCATTAGATTGTCAGCCCTCCCCCTTTTCCTCCTCTCCCTATCCCTGAGCTCCCTGTATCTGCCATATCCTGAGCAGAAACTTAGTGACAGTACTGACTGGGGCATGAGCAGTGTGCTGACCAGGCTGGCAAGATAGAGGTGCTGCCCGTCAGCTAGGACCTGCTATTTTGTGCCTCTCTGAGTGCTTCAGGATGGACAGTGGGAGGACTTCTGAGCAGAGACCTATGTCTTTTAGAACCAGGGAGCCTCTAAGAGCCAGGTTCTTCTTGGGCCAAGGTTGGTCTGTCCCATCTCTAAATATGAAAATGTCAGAAGGAGAATCAAGGCAGTACATACAAAAAATATGCTCTCTCTAAACAGTTTTATTTATCTATTTTCCTAGTGCTTTTCATTAATGACCAAGTAGTGTTTGAATAACAGGAAAGATAAACTTGGGATTTTAAGACCATGCTTGAATGTAAATATATTTTCTTAGCATATACTCTTTCCTTCTTCTGAAATCATTGCTATCTTTTTGTGTTTAGAGCAAGGGGAAGGAAAGAAGTGCGTACTGTCACTGTCCTTGAACTTTTCTGCAAGGCTGGTGCAGCTTCCCCTCCATTAAGCTCACTTGTTGGTGTGCTCCTCCTTTTGCCCAATGCATCATTGCAGGAGCATCCCTTATAAAATGGAAATCTTTCCTGTGAGGCATTTCTTTCCACCCTGTAAACAATCTTCACTGTAGATTTGCTCCAGGCTTACTAACCACTTTGCACCAGTCATAAATTTGAATAACTTCATAGGAGAGGATTTGCCTGAAAGTGGGTCACAAAAAGTCCTCTTCAGACGGGATGATACAGTGTGGTGCAGCAGAATTTCTCCTGTATAATAAAATAAATACAGCAATTAGCTTGTTTGTTCTGCTACAAGCCTTATACTTCTAATACTTCACTTTGGTACAGGTTTTAGGACTGCAAGAAATGCAGAATTAGGAATCTTTATGGCGTGATACCACCTGTATATCACCAGGTTCCAAACAGTTAACAGCAGCTGCTTAAAGCCAGCAAATAGCTACTTAATGTCTGATGTCCCTTCAGCGTGGGTGACCACTGCCCTGTGGAGTGAGCAGGGCCTTCCAGCTGTGTGCAGGAGTATGCTCGTGTCAGCTGTGAGGAGTCACCTCTGTACCACCAGAGCTCACTCTGAGCTGCTGTAGCTGAATTTTGTGATTCCTACCTGTTGCTAGCTGGTGGGAAAGGACAGCATCAACTACCAGTGAAATTTGAATCTTATTCCATGTAACAAGGAGAGGATTGCAAAGCCTTAAAGCTGTTTCTCTTTTATTCTCCTGTAGCCTGTTTATACAGTGGTGATATTTTACTTTTGAAGTGTGTGCAGTTTGCAGAGCTTAATGAACTTAAGTGACTTGGTTTAAATAATAGGATGGAATACAGACCTCCCAGCACCTTGCTTTTAACACTTGGATGTATTCTCTCCTCCAACAGGCAAATTAAATCAGGAATGCAGATAAAGAGAAATTATCATTGTCAGTACATCCACTTTCCCGATACAGACTGGTTAGACTGATTAAAAGAATAGCCTTCTTGATACTGAAACTTCCAGTTAGGAGCTCCTACCATGAGTTATTCATGCAAAAGTTTGATGCTTATCAAGATAGGGGTACTTTTTGTTCTGAGGAAAGGAAAGCAGTCATCCTTGCTTGATGAAAGAACTGCAGACTGTTTTCAAACTGGAATACATCTTGTTCAGGAGTGGTCACTGTGCATGCTGCAGTGAGTTACTGTGAGGGGGGAAGCGACTCACGAGTATTGAGTCCAGCTCCTATCAAACTATGGGCTTGAACCAAGTGCTTCACCACATTCTTTCTTTAGTGCACCCTAAGTGTTTAAAGACCTAATCCAAATTCCAGCAACGTCACTGCAAACCTAAATTATTCAGGGATGAGGGCAGAGGGGAGATTTGATGTCTATAGATGAGTCCTTGAGTGCACTGTAGTGATTCTAGGCCCCTGTCTCCAGCCTGCTACTCTCCTCCCTAATGCGTTCTCCTGTAATTATTTGCAAGCTACTAGTAGTGATATAAATAATGATCTTTACTGCAGTTTGCAGGAGATACCTTTGTCAGCCCAGTACACAATCGCTTCCAAAACCTAGTACTTATAATTCAAGTTTCAAAATTTACTCTGCGCTCCTGACAGAGTTTTGAGAGAAACATAAGGCTTTTCTGCAATTTGTAATGCAGTCATTGCCATATTCTTTTCATAGTCTGCTTTAACCATGTGAAACATAAGCTACCTTGTAAGCAAGGTGAAGAATTTTTTTTAACTCTTTGACTGGCTCTATGAAAGTGTAGAAGTTAGTGTGGTCCTGTCATATAATCTGCTCTCTTCCACAGTTTTTTTTCCTCAAAGTCTTGTCTGATGTACTATTAATTGAGTCACTTGACAAGGATTTTATCACTATCCTGGGGAAGCAGTTTTGGCTTTTGCTTGATATTGCAATTTTTGTTGTCTTCATTTTGTGGCAGGTGACAGGAAGTTCCCTGACTTTAAGTCCAGCTTTCTCTCATTCAACTTCAGGTCAACACTCATCACTTTTAAACTTTATGCACTGACTGTCACAAACTGTTTTCAACTTTCAGATTACCATGACTTTCTGCAAGTTGCGGTCATATACAAATACATTTTATATATCTGCAAGTAAATCCAAGCAACTTGTATTTTGTTTCCAAATTTCTTTGATTTGCCTGTTTTGCACTCCATTCTTAAAGTGTCATTTGAAGTATAAGCAACACAACCATCTATCTGTTCATCTTACGCAGAATTTGCTGTAAGCAAAGATGGAGGTCTTGGACACCTTTCTGCTTGTTTACTGATATATGTACATGAATGGGTTCTTTGGTTTCAGTGCTGAAGAAATCAAGTGAAAAGGCAGTTCAGCAAGCTGGGTCATGCTGCATTATTGGAAGCACTTTACATTATCATTGCTGATCACAGCAGACAGCATTTTCCTTTAGGGTTATAAAAAGTTCAGATGATCTCCAAAACATCACAATGGTATTTACAGTTAGAAGGCTCCCTTTCTAAATTTTAGAAAACATGAGGGATGCCTGCTTTTGTGAAACAGTATTTTAATTTTTGGATCAGAGTATCATGGCACCACATCCTGCTCCTTTAACTTCCCTTTTTGTTATTGAGTTATACACTATCATGCTTGCTTTACCGTGCCCATATAAAGCTGGTTTGCTGGGAGTTCTTGTGTTTGAAAAGGACAAGACAAGTGTGTCCCAGTGCACCTCCAGATATTTAGGGAGTTTCATGCAATGCTGTCTGTTAAAAACAAAATTGTGACAGCTTGAGATGATTGATTAGAGTTTCCATGCTGAAATCTTTTCTGTGGTGCTGTCCTGATGCAGTTTCTTTTGTAATCAGTTTCAGGAACTTCTGGAAGTGGGAAGAGGGAATCTGCTTGTGTGACAGCAGCCCTTGGTAACACGTGGAGTCACAGTGTCAACACCAGGCTCATCCTGCAATATCACGACTTGCTGACAAGGCAGGTGAGAACTTAAATAAAGTCATCCAAGCAGTTGTTTGCCAGGTGGGTAACTGTATAACAGCCAGCATGGTTAAGTACCATGCGGTGAGAATGGGCCAACTGCCTACCTGGGATGCAGGGAGGTCACTGTTCTTTGCTTTTAAGGGATGGCCAGTCCTCCAGTGCCTCCCTGTGTTAGAATGGGCTTATCTGAATCAAAGGATCTGCTGTGTGTTGGCACAGACATGCAAATTCCTTGAGTTTTTAGGGCATTGCATGTTGTGGAGATGAAGGTAATTCTTGAAGTGTTCTCCTGCACAGGGATTTTGGGACAGAAGTGGGAAGCTAGTCCTTGTAGTAGCATGACTGTTCTGCTGTCACATCTTTCTCACTCTTCTGTGCCAAATTTCTTCTGTGGCTGTTAGGATAGGGAGTGCTCTATCTTCTGCAGCTGCTGTTTGCAACTGGAGGCTTGCTGCCTGTACCAGCAGACTCATTTTGTGCATTAAATATGGTAGCAACTTTCTAGTAGTATGTCTGCAAAAAGGAGATAGCTAACACTTTTACTGAGGGACTTTGTGCTTTTGAATGAACTATAGTACCTTTTTTTTTTTTTTTTTTTTCTTTTTTGCCTGGCCACCTTCACCTTTTAATTTAAAAAAAAAAAGGAAAAGTCCTCCTGAGGGAGGACTTTCTGGCTCTACTTTCTTTTCCTCTGGAGGAGGTGAGGTCACAGTGACAGTCTAGGAGAGATCTTCCCATATGTCTGACTTGCATGGTACTAGAGCCAGGGTGCTTGTGCTTGCTGGGAAATCTTGCTCTCAAGAGCAAAATAAGCACTTGAGATTTGCTGGGCTGCGAGTCCAGAGGGTAGTATTCTTCAAGATGTGAAGATACAATCATTAAGGAGGATTCAAGCCATGAGTTTACAAGAAAATGTAGAGTACAGCCCACTGAATTGCTTGATGTTTGTTCTCAGCCTCACAGCATTGAGTTCTGGGAAAGCTCAAGGCCAGTGCAGTAGTCCATAGACCTGAAACTCTACAGAATGCCAAGGCAGCAGGTGGCATAAAGAGTATGCAACAAATCTGGGGAATCAAGCATAGAATTCTTACACAGGAGTTGTTTTTTCTTTTTTCTTTAAGCTGAGTAAAAGATTCTTTCTTTTTGTCTGTTTTGCAGCCGTTTTTTTAGCCAACTACCAACCCCCATCCTTCACATGTCTATTGAACATTAATAAGACAACAGCCAATTCAGCAAAGTATTGAAATTTCTGGAATATCCCACCTGCCTTAAAATCTGTTAGGTTTGCTTTATTGCTTGGATAGGACCAGCTTTTCCCACTTTCCAAAGCCTGTGTTCTGGTTTCATTCTCCTCTAGCAGAGATACATTGCCACAGGTGGGAGGACAAGCACAGGTTTCCAGCCTTCTCTTGGAATAATTGTGCCATCAGAATCCATGTGCATGGGCTGCAGTCAGTCTGCTGGCTACTGAGGTAGGGTTGAAGCTGAACGAGGCACAGAGCAGTGTGGAGTCATAGGAGCTTGGGAGAAAGTGGGAGAAGTTAATCATTTCACACAAATGTGTTCACAAAAGGAATTTGCTACTATCTGTCCAGTATATGGATAGTGATAGTCGGTTCTCCCTGAGGAGTCTTGTAAGTCATTAACCTTGACATGTGTTTTCCTGAATTCCATATGTAAACATGCAGGGCCTTTGAAGTTGGGCCAAAACTAACGAGACTGTGCCACAAACTATGAGATTCCTCAGTTGCCGCTATGCTTATAATGATCATGCTTTCCTGAATTGGAGTCAAAAGGCTTCCAAGCTTACTGTTTTCATGTGTGCTCAGCTGTCTTTGGGGGACAGCATGGTAGGGTTTAATAATTTGACGTGCTATATTTAACATTTTATTCTTGTCTATTAGAGGCAGGATGCTGGATTAAGTGAAACACTGACCAGATCTGGTATGGCAACTAAAATGTGCCTGGTTTATTTTATAGTTTCCAAGGGATTTGTGAGACTCATATTGTAACACTAATGGCTATAATGTGTTTTGAAATACTCAGATGGAAAGTGCTGTGGAAGCACAAGGTGTTATTATATAACAAATCAATGTTATCGCTTAGTATTTTAAAGAATTTTCAGGATTGAGATATGAGATAGGGACTAGGGCTTTCAAGCCATGCCAGGTAGTTGTTGTACAGCTGTTTTCCTGCTTCAGGTAAAGTGTTTCAAATGGATAAGTATATGATGACTCAGTCTTAAAACAAAACAGAAAGCCATCTCTTATTCTGATTAATGCCAGACATAACTTTGTTGTGTCCTTGGTTACAGACCAGCTGTTTTGTCTTGGTCTGTTCAGTATCATATGAATAAGCCCTGAATAAGCATTCCAAAATTGTGATGGCAAAGTAACCATGGTACTTGCTGGCGTGGAGAAGGGCTGGGAGAATTAGAAGGGGGGCGGAGATGAACTTTTATGTGTATGGGACTTAAGGCTTCAGAATAAAACTAGATTTATGTCTCCCTGTAAGACCTTGATGGTAGTTGTTAGATAGGCTCTATAGCTGTCGGATCGTTGTCCGATTTTTAAGATAACGTCAGTTGAGGTTTTCATCTATAAAAAGGGAAAGCAAATAAACCACAAAAAATAAAGCAATTACAAACAAAGCAAGTAGGCTGAGGAAGAAAACGTATGCTAAGTGCTGTCTGGGTTTAAGGCCTTCTAATTTTTGCCTTAACCTAGGCAAGAGAGAGTACAATAATGAAATCTGGAAAAGAGAATTGAATGTTTGCATGTCGAGGCTCAGCAGAAGTTTATAGCCTCACATTGTGAAGACTTCTGATTGCTTTGGGACTGCAGTGTTTACTGGAAAGAAAAAGAGAAGTGATGGAATGTGCTGAAATCACTGTGAAATGAAAAGAATAAGGTCCAATGTAAATAAAATATAGTGGTAGTGTGTTTTCTTCTGTTAATTTTGTTTATAGATGCATACTAAACCAAATGAAGATGCAGAAGAAGTAGTGTAAACATATTTTTTTCAGTAGTCTTAAAATACCTTTGAAGTCAGATGGGGAAGCTGGAGGTGATCCGTTCAAGGCAGACAGAAAACTTTTCACCTACTTCAGCAGGGCTGAGTCAGTCTTTGACGTGGTTGGAACAAGAAAAATCCCTAGGCATTGAAATCAGTGTTTTGCCAAAGAAGGTGACTGAGGATGTTCACAGGTTGCCTGTGTGAGATGAGAAACGTGGTTCTTTACATTCTTTACATGTCTTTTGCCAAGCTAGGATTTGGGGAGACTCAGAAAAAGAAATTTCTGTACCTTAAGAACAGAAGAGAGCTCTGAATGTGCAGTTCTCACAGAAGTAATAGAACAAATGCAATGCTGTTTAGTAGCCTCAACTGCACTGAGAAAACCTGACTGCATATGCTACACGAATCATGTACATAGTCATGTAAATTATATACATAATTCAGTTCTTTTTTCAAGTGTGTAGATGTGAATAAAATCAGCAGATGATGGCAGGTAATGAGCTTCAGTAAGCAGTAGTAGAAAAGAGATGTGGCTATTGGGTTGTTTCAGAATTGAAATGTTATAAAGTGTTCATGTGTTGTAAGCCATTTGTTATATAATATGCTTATCGTATGGCAAATCAGCTCTGTGAGAGCACAGAGAGACTTCTTAAGACAAGGAAGAGTGATGACAGGGAGTCATGTGAAGGGTAGGAAATTTTGCAGAAAAATAGTTTTATTCAGGTGAGAATTTTTTTTTCATCAAGAACGTTGCTTTTAAAGAAATAGCTGTGGGAAGACTCTAAGATCACTGATCCGAACACTGTAAACTCTTCCATTAAAAAAAAAAAAAAGCAGTTTTTTCTAGGGCTGTTTACTTTAGAGATTTCTGCCTCGTCCTTGTCGTCTTTTGACTCTTTAGAATCAAAATGCAATGCAGGTTTTTGTAGGTTCAAATTTCAATGTGTGCATACAAACCACATCCCTTAAGCTGATAAACAAGTAGCTTATTATGTTTTTCTGATGACAATATCCTTAGACTAGTGACTCTCACAACAGAAGTCTTTTGCTTATCCGTAGGTCGTATACAAGCATAAGCAGCAATATGACATTGAGTTGCATGTGAACAGGATGAAACTGGTCAGTGCACAAGTGTAGCATAAACAGATGATTATCGAAACAATATGATAAGTGATTTAATCCAGCAAAAGTACCAAATGAAAAGATGCCATGAAAATAAATAAGATTCATTAACAAGTAGCTAGAGCTCAAACTTCATTAGGTCGCTTTCCCAACTTGTGTGTTCATGTTGCTGTTGTTTTCATTATGCTTTCTGCATAATGGACTTGTGGGTGGTGGTTGTACAATATAAGCATCACTGCAGTCCTGTCCAGGGCTGGATTTATGGCCCCTTCCTGTTGACAGCACACTTTTATAGAGGAAAAACTTTTCCATCAGTCTTGAGCAATCAGTCATTTACTCGGGTGCTTATATAACACTATTCTGTTTGTTATCTAAGAATCTAAATAGAATTGAGGTAGAACTGAAAAGAACAGAAGGAAACTTCAAAATAATTTATATTTTTCTGATTTTTTTTTTTTATAGCTTTGCAGTTTTCCTTAATGAAGATTATTCTAATGCTGGATTAACAAAAACGTAGCAGCTGTTAACTTCAAACACGCAGCTCTGTAGTTCAGAGCATCCCAAACAAAGAAGCAGGAATATCCCTGAGGTTGCAAGGGCAAACTCATTAAGTTCTACCAAGTCTTCCTCATGAGCTTGGTGGTACAGGCGGTCACTCAGTACCTGGAATTGAGCTTGTACGCATGATCCTTTGTTATTTTTGACTGAGAGGCCACTTAGCTCTTCTTTGGATGTGGCCAGCCTGCACTGGTCATGGAGTTAACCATGTCAAAGTCAGAGGAAACAGGAATTAATTTGTACCCTCGTACCAAAGCTCTGGAGACATCTCTGGAACACTGTGTTTGGCTTTGACATTTGTGT